AATGAACATAAAATATTTAAGTATAAGAAATATAATGCAGACTGTTCAATACAAAATATTGAGTTGTTTGCTTACTTAAAAAAATTAAATGAAGGTGCAAAAAATATTTAACACTGTTTAAAACAATTTCAATAATAAATTATTTCAACAATTGCATTTTCAATTGAAGACAACGTTATAAAAATACTAATCATTTCAGTCAAATAGCTTTATGTAACTTTTTGGAAATCGAAATTTTTACTAACACAAATAATTTATTTTCCTCCAACAGCAAACCATTTTTAACGCATTAACGCTTAGAATTTGGAAAAAATATTATACATATGTAGCTTTTCATACATTTTATGCATGAGGTAGGATTAATTTTATACAAAATAAACGTACTATTTTCTGCGTGTGAATTACTCTTGCATGTTTGCTAGGTTTATCCATGCAACAACCATGTTCTCATTTGCTAAAAGCAAATTCATATAGAAGGATTTCATAGGAAACAGAATACTTAGCATTCTACATCTTTTACTAAGATTTAAGAAACCCTTTCTAAATAAATAAAATGAGTTAATTATTTTTTATTCATTTTCATTATGAGAAAAGATAAAATTCTATTTTTTTTATCTTCCATTCCATAACAGCTAGTTTCCGATGCAATTATTCCACTAATTATTATTCCAATAGGTACCAATAAGTATTGAATGTATAAATATCTGAGTATCAAAAGCTAGCTTCATTCTTTTATTAAATTAAGGAAATTAAAAAGGTGGTAAATATGTAATGCCTATAATAGCATGAAAAGCACATATTACCTATGTTGGGGTCAAAATAGAATAGATATATTCACATAATACTATAAAAAAATAAAGATAAAGTCTCAGCTAAAGCAAACGGCTTTTTAAGTCCACTTAAAAAAAATACTTCTGAAAAAAAGTATTGTAAATTGTATTGAATTTACTAACTGAACAAAAAAGATTGACAATTCATACATCGTCAATGCTTTTGTAGTTTAAACTAAAAGCTAAACATATCGGGGGAGGGGAGTATAAATTCAATACATCCAATATATAATTAGGGGAATGTAATAAAAATTTCAGTAATATGTTGCAGCAAAGAAATTTTTTAAACAAGGAAATTTGCAGTAAAAAATATGAAGAAATATTTTTAAAAATATAAAAATAATGGTATCTAAGGCTAATTTTACTTTTTGCGTATTTTGCCGTATCATGAAAAATTTTTGAGTGAATTGAAACATTTTTGCTCGCAATTATAAAATTTGTTTAGCCACAGATAATTCCATGCAAAAAACAAATTTCAGTGAGTATTTATTATTTTTATTATTTTATTTTACGCTGGTCGGAAAAATTTTTTGATGTAAGATATACAATTTTTTACATCATATTAAAGAATGTATTTATACATGGCAATATACAAAATTTGAGCAAAATCGGTCAAATAGTTCCTGAGAAATAGTATTTTAAAAATATAACTTTTGCAAAATATGATTTCTTAGAAGCTATTTCGCTTTAAATTTTGTACATTTAAAATTACATTATTTAAAATGATATAAAAACTGCATTCCTTACAATTCAAAAAATTTTCGACTAGTATAAAATAAAATAATAAATACTCACTAAAGTTTATTTTATTGCATGGAACTATCTACGGATAAACAAATTTTATAATTATTTGCAAAGTGTTTTCAATTCGCTTGAGAAAAATAAGCAAAAAGTTAAATCAAGTTTAAGGGATCCAGATTTCGGTCCGCCCTCCTGATCATACTCCGGGAACCATGTTTCACAAATTCAGGCTACCCCCTATATTTTGGGGGTCAGAAATCAGGATCCGTCTTAAAAAAAGTACGTTTATTCAGAGAAAATACGTTTCGTGTCTGATTTCGTAACTTAAAATATCGTCTGCACTAATTAATCAGCATATTTGGAGTCTACCCCTCGAACTGCTAAGATTGAGTTCTAGAACGCGAAGATCCGATCATTAGATCAAAAGTTATTGAGGGTGGACCATTTTTTTCTTTGCGCACCGTACAATACTCTACTTCATATTATACAATACAGGTTGTCTCAATAGGGCTCAACATTAGCTGTTTGATTCTAATTAAATAAATCTTCAAAAATCTTTAATAAAAATTGTTGTTCTTGAAATGGATTTAAGGAAATTTTAAGAAAAAGTAGTATTAAATTTTCTTCAAGAAAATATCAAGGTTTAAAAAATTAATTTGAAGGTTATCTCAAACCATATTATATTTATTGCTAAAACACTCTGCTTAAAATAAAATTTGCTGAGTCATCTCATTAAATGTGTTTTCAGGTTTTAATTAATGCTTTAGTCATGGCTATTATTGCTCGTAAAAATTCATAATAATTAATTTTTACGAAACACACAATCTTCATAAGTGTTCTAATAATAATTTTGCGTATTTCTAATCTTTTCAAAGAATGCACATAACTTCGCTAAATTTCTGTGTTCAAAAATTAAACCTAAATCTTTATACGTAAATGTAAAGATTTTGGTTAACACAGGAAGACAATGTACAGTGCGAAAAATAATAATAATAAATAAATAAAAGGAAAAGCGGACCACTCTGAATATTTTTAAATCTAATGATCGGATCTTCTCATTCTAGGATTCAATCTTAATAGTTTAAGGGAGTAACCTCAAGTATGCTAATTAATTGGTTCTGGCTAGTGCTGGCAATAATTTAAGTTACAAAATCATAAGCAAAACTTACTTTATCTGAATAAACATACTTTTTTACGGCGAATTTCTGACCACCGAAATAACGGAGGTGGTGGCAATACGAGAAATATGGTCTCAAAAGTTTGATTATGTGAGAAGTCCAAAGTTTTGAACCCATAATGTTAATTTTACTTTTTTCGTATTCCTCCTATATTTCGGATACCGTCAGATTCAATTTTTACGTCGTGCCATCTAGGGCTATTTTTTTAAGCTCGGTATCAACTAATTTTATAATTAGCTCGCTATCAACCGACGTCCGGTGGCTGAGTGGTAGCGCTTCGCGCTCCCGTGCCACAGGTCCTGGATTCGGTCCTCGAGACGGGCAAGGTCTTTCATCTCTTCAGTGGATCGATAAATGAGTAGCAAGCATGCTTGGGAACTAAAGACTGGGGGTTTCGCGTTCGGCTGACCACATAACCGGAACATCTGCTCCTGCACCCCAGAGCCCAAGGTCAAGAAAACTGAGATGGGCACAGTAGACCTTGGCCCTGCATGGGCTATTGCGCCGCTGAGTTTAGTTAAGTATCAACTAATTTGAGTTGTCAACATAACGAACTAATGGTTTACCAAGAAATGTCAATGTAAACATCATTGTTCTTGAAAAATTGTGAGCTCAAGTTACAAGCAGTTTCAAATTTTTTAACGTCGCAAAATCGGAGGCTGGAAAGTCTGCTCGGTTGAAGAAGTTCTAGTTATCCTGATGGCCAGGAAGGTAGGTTATACTTTAAAAGTCTTATCAATTGAGATAACAAATCATGCATAATTTTTTGTTTTTAGCTATTATAATGTTAGTTATATAATTATTAGCAGTTTGCACAAAGTCACCCCGTCTGAGGGTATCCCCTATATTTTGGTATTTAGTAATCATAATAGGACAATAAAAAGGTATGTTCATTCAGAAAAAGTGCGTTTTTTGTAACTTAAAATATTGTTTGCATTTTTTAATTAGCATGTTTGCGGTTTTGTGGTTAGCATATTTATGCATCAACCCTACAAACCAATAAGATTGAGTCCTAAAACGTGAAGGTCCGATCTTTAAAACACAAGTTATTCAGGGTGGTCCATTTTTTTTTCTGAATGAAAGCGAAGCGCATTTTTCTACGAAAATTTATTTAAAGATTTGATAAGCATAAAGAAATTAGTAACGTCATGAAAATGAGGGTTCCAAATTTTTGTTCAGAACGTTTCAAAGATTTTAAATATTAACCAAAAAATAGATCAAAGTTTTTAAAAATCAAATTTGTGTTTAAGCCTAAATTGATGCAATCATGTTATATTTATAAATAACTATACAATTCGCTTCCTAAAAATGAGTATTGTTAAATAAATCTATTGAACAAATTTAATATTTATAATTGTAAAAGGAGGAACAGGAATTTTTTCATTTGAACGACGAAAAAAACAAAGAAAAGGTAAATAAAAAAAAACCACTTATTTCATCAGGTGTAAATTCTGCCTTCATTGTTGATTTTTATGTTTTTAAAATAAAATGCATCGTTAACTCAAACAGCTTAAAGATCGAAAATTATAAAAAAAAGTACTTCACTTAAAGATAGAAAAGTATAAGAAATAGCTACCAGAGCATGGTAAAATTTACCGGGTTTCAGGCTCCATGGGAACACCAAAAAATACGGCAATTAAAAAGCTTTGGAAGGATTTTGAGAGAATTACCATTAAAATATGGTTATATAATATTTTATAAATGTGATAAAAATTGGCAATTTTATCATAATACCTTAAAGTATGGCATAAAAGCCATTTATTCGATTTAAGTTACTTTTCAGTTTTGCTATTTTTACTAAATCTATGATAATAAGATATACAGTTTTGAAAACCAGAATTTCCTATAAACTTTACCATATGAGCGGAAAATTTACCAAATGAAGGGTTTAAATACCATATATTTTAGTTTTATTAACCAGAACTATGCTTTGTTTTTCCGGAAGTGCCCTTACCTCACTATACGATAATTTTGCCATATTTTTTTTTCTCCCGTTCCTTTTTAAATAAAATCATACACAGTTATTGGGAAATAATATTTATTTTCTCACAAAATTGAGAAACAGAATAAATAAACACTCAGATAAAAGATGAACATAATGAAATACATATACATATACAAAGTTAAATAAAAATAAATGGGATAATTTAAAATGCATTCTTACGATGCATATAGAAGAATATAAAAATAATTAAGAATTCTTCAAAGAGAGCAAGGCTTTCAATTAAAACAAATACACTAATTTAAATTAACAATAACAAACAATTTTAAACAAATATAAACTGGATTTTCTAGCAAAAACAAAAAAAAATTTGTAGTTTTTTCAAAAACATTTTTGTAGCGTAAATACGTCAGTGTTCTGTATCAAATCAAAGCTGTTCAATATTCTTTAATCAAAGTTGTAAATTCAAATCTGTTAATTCAATGTTCAATGTCAAATGTTCTTTATAAAGCAAATGTTTGTTATGACAATAATAATTAAATTTCTATCAGAAGAAATGTAGTTGAATAAAGCACACGAGAGTTAAATGCGAATGCATTCAAAATGTTAGGCAAATTATAAACATAAAAGTTCACATAATTACAGTACAAATTTAGTACTGATAGGTAGTATACATACTATGAACAAGCATGAGTTTAAAATATTAATACATTAAGTTATAATACGCAAAACTACGTATGCTTATTTCAAAACTACAGTTCTTCTTCAAACTGGTACATTTTACTCTACATAGCTCCATCCTGCTCTTTTCCATTAAAAATTATAAAATGTCTAAATGAAGCAAATTATATTTTGTTTAGACATTTAGTGACATCAAGATAAAAAAATGAAGTAAACTTAGAAATAAATTCACCATAAACACTGAAACTTGTCACGCCTTAACTTTATGAGTCTTTTGAGATGAAACTTTATAAGTGGCTCACCTGTGTGGTGTTTAGATTACTTGTAACATTCTTACGTATGCTCCCCATATTCTAAAATAACTCATAAAATATCTTAGATTGATATTTAAAATGTTTATCATATAAACAAGAGATGACCGTTGGGGTGGCATAGATAGTTTTAGAATTTTATTTCTACATTATCTAAATTAAAAGAAACTCAGCAAGAATAATTGGAATATGATATTTGTTAAAGTGATTTTCATTAAAGTAAAGATTATTTATGAATAATTGAATCAATCCATGGTCTATAGGAAGACATTCGCATATAAACTCCTGGAAGGTTTGGATCAGCACAACCTATACCATGGGACACAGTTCCAACCAAAACCCAGCGTCTATCTTCTCTTTGCACCATCAAAGGTCCACCCGAATCTCCCTGAAACAAAGAAATAAATACAAGCAATGGTAAAAAAGCAAGCATTAAAATTATAGATATATAATAAATTTCAAAATGATCCAAAAATATTAAATGGTGTGAAGCAAATATGTATTAGATGTTTTGAGGTTTCTATGTCGAAGGCTTATGAGTTATAATATTTTCTGCAAATGTGCAAAATTGTTACTGAAATTTGAATTAAAATTTAAAGTTTGAACTTGAATTCTTAATTGGTGCTTCAAATAATTTTTGAAATGATATACATTTAAAACATCTGAAAACCTGTCTTTCTTTGCTTACAATTAAAAACTCATCTTTGTGAACATTGCTTTTCGAAATTTAAATATTAAACTAAGTAATTTATTATTACGTATGGATTGTTTAGGCTGATAAAGGTATTAAAATATGAGTTTTTGTTTCTATAAATAAATTCTGAATCGTGTATAAAAAGTATAAAATTATATTTTCGGTTCAATAAAATGGTTGAATCACGCAATCGAAATAATTGAATCACGCATTAGGATATATTTCAGCTACCTCCCAGAGTTAAAGTTGTTTGGAGAATTACATGCCAAAAACACACATTTATTGCTTAGAAATAGAGAGATAAGGCTGCATATACGACTTTTGAAAATAAAGTATGAACTATCTTAATTAATGAGTGAATCAATTAGGGGAGTTTTAAATTTGCTATCAATGACTCATTAATCCTATAAGGCTCATCTGGTCTTATAATTACTGAAGAAAGAAAATAATTTTTGACATCTTAAGAAACGTATATAGACTGGAATTGAAAACCAATTCTGTCCATTGAACGACGAGAGAACAAACGTCAATCGATTCAGTTTCTGCAACCGATGATTTAAAATGTTGTGGCGTTTATGTGACGTTTATCCAGAAAAAACACGAGGCCAATGAGGAACCTATGATCGCAATAATGAAATTACAATTTTCTCTCTTCTGTCATTTTATTCTTTTTATTCCTCTGAGTTGTAGAAAAAACCAGATATTGGAGATAAAAACAAACTAAATTTTGATGTTAAATTTATTTGCTAGTAAGATTTAGAATTCTTTACTTTATTTGTAAATTTAATTTCTGGTGATTCTGATTTTATTTCTTAAACTTTTTAATTTCTTCATGTAAACAACACAAGGTCTGATAAATAGAGTTCTGAGTGTCGATTGAATGATGAAATGAGAAAAAAGCTACTTCATGAACTAGTTGTTCTAATTAAATAAAATCAAATCGTTTACTTAATCAAACTACTAACCACACAGCGTTTTTTTTTACCTAATATGAGACAATTTTCAGATAGAGAAATCGCCTATTCAGTGTAAATGTGTCTAAAATTTGGTAGCTACTCGCTAGACATTAGTTTTCGCACATGAAGTATTTAAATGTCAGATGTTTAAACGTACCATTAAAAGTTAATGTTCTTTATAATTAAAATGCAAAATGTCGACATATTTTGAGAGCTCGATTAAAACGTGACGCTTGTATGAGGAAAACAAAATTGAATATACCTCGCTTAAACTAGGGNGGATCGGCGCGGCGAGAGATACTTCAAAGGAGTGAACCAGCCCTTCTATTCTCTTTAGCCCTGGCTTAAACTAGCTGACTGGCTTAACTTATGTTATATACCCTAATCTAACTGAAATTCACATGGGAGTTACTGAGGTAGGATATTTAAGCCTGATAGACAAGTGCGAAGAAGATATCAATAATAAGAAGAAAATCTGTTGCCAATGAAAAAGAAAATGGAAAATAATAAGAAAAAAATACGTTGGGCGAAGGCTGTGAATCAGTGAAAATTCGCTTACTTGCGAGCGGAACTAGTTTCAATCGCTTGGAAGTCATTTTTCGTATGAATAAAACAAGAGTAAAAAGCTTGTAGATGAGCTGAAATATCAGTAATTTGAATGAAATTTGGCATTTTCGAATTTATTTTTATACCAAGAGTCCCAATACTGTGCAACAGTAAGTTATTTTTGAACATCTGATGAAGAACACAGTTGTTACGGTCCTTTATTCTAAAGTTTACAGTGCTCCTTTTATGCTTAAAGTAACCAAATTTCCAATTTAAATATGAAGCAAATGAAGTTTTATTGACAAATATATTTCTTTCGGATTCATTTTTTTGGAATTATTCATTTCATACCCCCACATGGTAAGATTTGTTTGGCAATTAATTTTTTTAAAAAGTTTGATTGTCTATTACCTCGCATGAATCTTGTCCTCCGTTTGTGTAACCAGCACAAACAAAGTTACTCCGTATAGCTTTTTTATGTCCAGCATGAAAAAACATTCTCTGACAATCACCATTTCCAACTATTGGAACTTGAACTTCTTGAAGTATATTAGGTACATCTCCACCTAAAATTAAAATTTATATGTATTCTGATAAAACAAGAAGTACACTTGTCATGCGAGGTTCACCCGGAAGTTTCCCACATTCCATACAAAACATAATTGTGCGAAAAGTTTTATTGCAAAAGATATATCAATCTTTTAGCCACTTCATTACATAAATACCATCGAAAATGTACAGTATTTGTAGTACAGTCAAGTATAGTACTTGAAGTCTACTATCATAGAAGTCTCTCACCTGGAAATTGAGCAAGCGTGTCGTAGCGATCTGCCGACCTTCGTCTGAAGGAAAGGGATGTCCATGCAAGAATTTCTTCCGGTGCCAAAAAAGGTTGAAAGATCTGGATTGTAGGGGTGAATAGCCAAACCCCTGCCAGCAAAAATTCTAAAGCCGATATTTTTTGCTAAATACCCATTAGGTGCGTGAGTATTATCGTGGAGCAATATACGTGTTCTTCATCGTATGATATTTCACCTTTTCCACCAGTTCCTGCGCTTAAGGAAATTCCCATCTGGACATCAATTTCTTGCAGAAGAAGACAAGAATAAAGGCGTGACACACTGTCTCAATTCTCATGCTGCAGACTTGTATGATATTGGACAACAAAAATAAACTTATCGCGTGGTATCACAAATGTTACAATTCTGGAGGTTCTTTAAAAAGTGTAGTTGAAATATTATGGTTTTCGTTTGCAATAAACTTTTCCAAGTAAATAGATTCCATTTCCTTTTTTATGGGCCGTAGAAACTTTTTTTTTGTTTAACCTTCGTATTTTTATAATATTTATAAGATTGTTATCTCCTGAAAAAGATGTTAATCGTTTTTGTCTAACAATGAATACTGACAAGATGATTCTCAAAGTTTTGCTTAATGTTTCGAATTTTTATCCTTCCTTTTAATTTTTATCCTATGATTCTCAAAGCTTCGTTTAATTTCTATCCTTCACAAGATGATTATAATCTTCCATTTACGAAGAGATTTTAAAACCTAAATATGGTAATCATGTAATATAAAGTACATGTTTTATAAGTAACAATGTTTGTAAAAGATTTTATTAAATATTTACATTAGAAAAAACTTTGCATTTTCATTTTAGCTTATTATATGCAGGAACACGTTTGATTTGATGGATCTGTATCTCTATTTGAACTTCGGTATTTTTAAAATTTAGTATAGTTTCTTGCACTTCTATTACGAATTCTGAGAAGAGGCTTTATTACTTGAAACAAAAAAAAACACTACTTTGTATTTCTTAAGTTAAGTTTCATCTCATATTTTATCCTTGACATTTTCGAAAAATCTCTAGATTTCAAAAGAAGTTATTTTTATTTAAAAAAGTTAAATAAATATTAAACCGTAAAAGCTGACTTTATAACTTTTGATTGCAAAATCATGCACTTATAAGTAGATTATTTCTGCCACACATAACTCTTAAAACCAATGGTCCTACTACATTTATATATTTTGCAAGTGCCACACACTATTACAAACAATAACACCTATGCCATCAGTACGTGTGCTATCTAGTATTTTTCAATAGCACAGTTAACATTCAGCAGTGCTGGGCGTACGTCTGAATGTTCAGCAGTCATAAGAAAAATGGAGTCACAAAGATATCAGTCAGGTGAATCGGCTACATCGATACTAAAGATTTAAACCCTCAGACAGTTATGTCCTGCTAAAAGTCTAAAACCAATCACAGCTGCTTTTCTAGGGGCATTAGGAACATAGTTGGGGTCTTCATTAAGGATTGTTTAGCTCTTATCTATAGATTCTTTTGCTTTTCTTAACCTTAAGGTCTGCTTAAATGTTAACTTGGTTAAAATTATCAATGAGTGAAAGGTCGGCATTCCTTTAGGTTTTCTGACAACCAAGGCTCCTTTTTTTGCAAATATTTCAGCTTGCTCATTACCTATGATTCTACAGTGCGCAGGTACCCATTGCAAAGATATTTTACGAATAATTTCTTTTAAAAACAACCTGCATTCCGAAATTCGCTGTGACACACTGTCAAAGCTAGATCTCTTTAGCGGTAACTGATGAGCTGCTACAGTAATAGCCTCTACTTCTCAATCAAAGGCAGTAGAAAATAGTCTCGTAGGTAAATTGAAGTTAAAAAGCACGCAGGATATATCAGATTCAGCGCCATCTTGCCTATTAAGCATGAAGCCATTTGAAAACACATGTAAGCAATCGCTTCTTGGAAATCGATCGTGCATAATTCCATAGCAACGGCTATCATTTGTTCAGGATTCATGTCCTTTTTCACCGTTTTTATAATTAGATCGAGATTAAAATTAAGGGGAGCATATTCCAGCAGGAACTTTGACAGAGTTGTATAGAAACATCTTGATGAAGTTTAAGAGGCTTCTTGATGAAAAGATTCATCAAGAGGCTACTTAATGAAGTGGTTCTTGATGAAGAGGTTCATCAAGAGGCTTGATGAAGTTCAAGAGGTAAGACAGCAACCCTCGATACTGCCTGGAGGAAGCTGTTTTGAGTTATCAGATTTCTAATTCCATTTATGTCATAACTTTTCAAGAAAGAATCTTCAGGAAAGCTTATGAGTCTTTAATACAGGATTACTGCTCTTCTTTTGATAAAATGTTCAAAATTCAGTTTTGATCAAAATCTACATTACCAGTATGAAGGTAGTCTTTACTGCTCCCCTGATGATCCGAGGAGCTTGGTTCTGTAATACGTCAAGGTGTTGGACAGTGGTTTTGGAGGCGGTAGTTTCAATACAGTAACTAATAACTGGTTGTATGAATATTTTGCAAGTTTCGCTTAGGGTTCTTCTATTGTACCCCTATCGAGAGCCAGACAAGCGCTTTAAAAATAGAAAACCTTTTTTCTACTTTTGTATTCTACAAGCGTTTTAAAAGATCAATTGCTCTTAATACTTTCACCAAATATAAATAAGTTAAAAATGAAAAATCAAAATTACCATGAGTGAGTTTACCCCATCCAGTAACAAAAGCCATTTTCCCTGTAAAATCTTCATTTTGATGAGGAAAACATATAGGTACAACATAAGGTAGAAATTCTATTTCAGATTCCATTTCTAAAAGTGCCAAATCATTCTCAAAAGTCTGGGCATTGTAGTGTCGATGTATGACCATTCTTCTTACATTTCTTATGATTGAGGCTTTGTTGTCTAATGTTCCACCAAGATCATGAATGCCTAACACCACAATCAGTGAAGCAAGAAATCTATAAAAATAGTCAAAATTATTTAGGAACTACCTTAAAGGATCATAAAGCTGATAATTTTAAATTAACTGTGTAAATCAAGTAAATGTTAGATAAAACAATCATAATTTTCTTTTAAATCAATTATTGTTTTATTCAATACAGTACAAGCAAATCTAACTCTTAATTATTTTATATTTCATTATCTTTATGCGCTTTTGGTTTGGTTTATATTGTAGTGCGCGATCACTATAGCACAAATAATGTGGGAATATTTGAAATAGATAACAATTTCATATAATTAAACTGCAGACATGCACAATATATTAAATAAGAAACTAAGCACATTCACTGGTTACAAATTGTTTAAAAAACATATTTCATCTTTAATGAGCAATACATGATACGAGTTGAAAAAAAGCTGTATCGTGTTCTCATTTTTGTAAATAAGACAATAAAAAATATCGCATTTAAACTTTCAAAAAGTTTATATTACTTTAATACTTAACTTTTTGACGCAGACAGGACACCGGTGTCCCTTTTATAAATTTTATTCTGACGCTCTAACTACAAGCAAAAAATATTATGGTATTTTTTAACTATTAACAACAATTTAATAATTACTAAGAGAAATCTGTTTTCGAAATTATATTTAATTATCGAAATTATATTTTTACTAAAACATAAAATCCAAAAAAAAAGTAGTTTGCTTTTCTTCTTTCATATTCAAAAATTTATCAATATTATAAATTAAAGAAATTTTAATGGTGAGTAACTGATTCTCTTAGATTTAATTAACTACAAATAAGTACAAATTTGAGATATTATTGTTTAGAAGTGAGCCATGATTGAAAGATTTTACCTTTAATGCAGAAAAAGACACTGGTGTTTCATGTTGTGTTTGATAACCATATACTATTAAAATGCTAAATATAATATTTTATACTTATTTTAACCTAAATTAATGTAAAAAAGTTTAAAAAAATATGAAAAATATGTTTAATAAAAATTCTGCATCAAAGAGTTAAGGAAGTATTTCGCTATTTTAACTCTAATTATTAATTTATTTACTTTTTTATATCTCTTACCTATTTAAATTGTTATATTTTAATGCCTTACTGGTATGAACTTACAACAAGTTTAATGATAATTATGCTATAGATGTAATCAATGAAAAGAGTATTTATTAATTTATTACATTATAATCTCTATAGATTTTGTTCCATGTTGTCGTTTTAGACATATGGCATTCCACTGTTGTTTTCCCTTTATTTTGATATCAAGGAAAACAATAAAATAGAGTTTAAAAGAAACGCAAAAAGATAAAATTTAGCGCCAACCCTGTCCTGAGCTGCTAAATTTAGCAATATAACAACATTCTTAGATTAGAGAATTGGCAACATACTTATAGCTACTTAAAGTATACCTGCTAGTAGAATATTTTATTTATTAAATAAATATTGATTTTAAACAAACATGATACGAGTTAAAGCACTTATAATATGCTAATAAATTATTTTCCAGGCATAATTTCCTAAATTATTAATTATTTATTATGGTATCAAAGAAAACAATGGAATAGAATTTAAAAGAAACGTAAAGGGATAAAATTTTGTGTCAACCCTGGCCTGAACTGCTAAATTTAGCAATGTAACAACATTCTTAAATAAGAAAATTATCAACATGTTTAGAGCTACTTAAAGAGTACTTGCGTGTAGAATATTTTATTTATTAAGTAAATATTTTTACTTAACAAACATGATACGAGTTTAAGTACTTGTAATATGTGAATAAATTATTTTTGATGCATTTAACTAGATCTTTGTTAATATTTCCTTCAGTTCTACGCTTGCTAAGAAAACTTATGAGAGAAATTACCCAGATTGACAATGTAAATATTTATATTAAACAAACATGATACGAGTTTAAGCACTTGTAATATGTGAATAAATTATTTTTCAGACATTTAATTAAGTCATTGCTAATATTTATTTCAGTTATACACTAGCTAAGAAAACTAATGAGAGAAATTACCCAGGTTGACAATGTGCAGCCGTTAGAACGTATTTTGCTGTAATAAGGACTCCTCCACATTTATTCTTTATAAAAAGACCAAGCCAAGTTGCTTCCTTTACTAAGGCCTACAAATGAAATAGCATTAAGTTACAAATCTACTTTCATCTGAAATTTATAGTTGATACAAAGAAACATTAAAATGGGTAATCTATATATTAAAAAATTGAAAATTGCATACTCGGAAAGAATTCAGTTCATGATTTAACAGTAAAAAGTTTGAACCCTAATAAGGCCAGAGTTTGATGTAATCCTTAAAATATACTAAATTATAAGGCTTTAGAAATGTCGGTTTCATCCTCAAATTGTTTTAAGTATGCGTTTTTAGAGAAAAAAAAACACGATATAAATTTAGACAACAAGATGTTTGTAGATATTTTGCTGTAGTGTTATTTTAGAAACTTGTAATGTACCTATGCAAAAACTATACTAAGAAACAATTAAATGAAGAATATAAAAACGTCATTTTGTAAAATGTGTATCTTATCACTTTACTGCCTCCCCATTTACCATTCAGAACAAAAAAGAGCTCCATTTGCCATATTAAAAAATATTAATTTGCATCATAAAATGTATCATCCTGACACCTTGTTAGATGGCAGCAAATTTGTGAGAAAATAGTTTTAAGTTGCAACAATATTTATAATTGTCAAATTTAATTCTTTTTCTTCTAGAAAAATAATTTTTTTTTAAAAAACAAAATAACATTTTGATAATAAGTACTAAAAATTACGGAATTTAGATCATTTGACAATTCCTTCCTGCGTTGTGGTTATGGTTAATCGAAAATTCGGGTAAAAATGTAACACTTAAAACGTAAAATTAACAGCAAAGATGGTTTTCACGACATACGATATTATTATTGCGATCAAATTACCATATCAACGAGTAAACACGTGAATATCTCGCTCAAGAATTTACGAGGTTTTAATGAAACATAGTGATGGAAGTAAGCTTTCCAGATTTAATGTCCGGTAGCATGGCTTTCAAATTAATTAAATTTATTTCCAAGCAATAGGATATTAAAACCATATTTTATTAGTAAATTTAACATAAATCATTGTGAGAAAATAAAGTATGGTCAATACTACCAAAATATGGTAAAATTCACCGTGTTTCTGGCTCTATCGGAAAATTCTAAAAATTTTAACCGGAGCGCTATGGCAATGATTTTGGTAAAATTAACGATAAAATGTGTTTTTATAATATGTGAAAATTCGGTAATTTTATCATGATCAAAGAGCAGGGCATAAAAAACCTTTTTTCTTATAAATTAAATTTTCAGTGTTGTATTATTTACTATATGTGTGGTAATAAGAACTATAATTTTGAAAACTAGAATTTGCGGTAAACTGTTACAAATTAATGGAAGTACAGCATATTTCGTCTTTTTACCTAGAATTATTGATATTTTTTATCAGAAATGTCATTACCAAACGATACAGTAATCTTGCCAGAATTTTTTTCTCCAAGCATTATGAAAGTCTTACAGTAACAATTACCCTATTACCATTACCCTATTGTTACCATTACCACGCCATTGTTATGTACCATTACCCTACATAGCATCATTTATGACACTTAAAGTAAAAACTTGTAACTCTTTTTCATGCATGAAATAAAAAAACAAACTCAATATCAATTATACAAAAAAGTATCAAGAGTAAATTTTCCCCCATGTCAAAATGAATATCAAATATATGCAAATCATAACTTTTCTTATAGCTATGAATTTAAGAAAGTCAGTAATTTTTTTAATAAATGTACATTTACTAAAAGTAAAGTAATATGAATGCGTAGTGTTTAGTTTCCTTACAATCGATTGTCTGCTGAGTTGCAAGTGATTTGCATGATTTTTTAAGACATAAACTTCTTTTTTTTTAAGTTAGAAAATATATTTTAAATTATCTATTAAGAGCTGACAAATATTTAATACTACGAAGGATTTGTTTTATTAAATATTTGTTTCAATTATCTTGATTAAATTATTTTCTAAAATACCTATAATATTACTTACCTGCCAAGGCCATTTACCAAAATGGGTATTTTTTCCACCAACAATTCTACCAATAGGTTGCATTAGTCTTACTCCACAATCTATAACAAAATATTATATAAAAAATTTATACACGTTGAAAAAAATAAATATAATTAGGTGTAATAAGGAAATAAAAATATTCTATAAGATTTAGCATATAAACTATGTGAAACTTTTATGATTTTATGAGATTGTAACAACTAAAAAAACTGCTCATTTGTATTGGTCGTGAAATAGTGAATACTCATATAACATAATACACCATATGCTGGGCTGCCAACTGCTACGTTTTTTGAAATTCATTTTATAGAGTAATAGACAATTAAATACTAAGGCTTTCAGAATTTATGGTATTTTTGCCGAAAGCCAAAAGCTGGAGCAAAGTAGCATTTCATATGAACTTTTAAAGTGGCGTGGAAAATACGTTGAAATCAAATTTAACGAAACAAATGATCATACATTAAAGCATAAACTTAGCTACTACTAAAAAAAATTTTCCCCAAGAAAGCGTAGAAAGATGACAGCTTTGCATATGGGTTAATTCAATCATATTTAAGTTTATTAACGTGTTAAAAAGAGAACTTAATACGCAAATAGTTGCTGAAAGTTGAGGCAAATTGTTTTAAAAGTTCTGGTTTTAAGTGAATATCTCAATAACGAACTCATCTCATCAACGAATATCTCAAATTTTTCTCCTCCCGAAGTGAAATTTAAACATTATTTTAAATTTACTAAGAAAAAGGAGACCAAAAGGAGAAGAACTCAAGCATTATATTCTAGATAATTGAAGTAATGTTTGTGTTTGAAAACAATACACTAAAAAAATGGATTCTCAAATATTACAAATTTTTCCACGTTTTTGAGAAAACTATTTCCTTGTATATGCTCCAAGCAAAACTTTCGTCAAAATGACGAAATAACTATCGTCACTTCTTTGAAGAAGCGAATCTAATCAAAATTAAAGATTCTTCATTCTATTTTTTTCAAAGAAAAATGAATAACCTCTTAGTGTTTTAATGTATCTAACTATTCTAACCACTCTATGGTGGGCATTATATAGGCGGATCAATGTCATCTCAGCAACACAAGAAGGGCCGATAGAACTTAGAGATAAATTACATTCATGCCCGAAGCTGGATTCGAACCCGGGATCTTCCCGGTACAAGGCCTACCATTGACCAACAAAGCCAAGGCCTTGACCACCATACAGAACGCTTGACTTAGTTCGTCACTTTATTTTCGATCGTCCAGTTTCGTCATTCATTGAGTAATCTCCCATAATCTACTGGAGTGAGGTTTTAAGTCGAGAAAACGTCTTCGTCTTATATTTAAGAGCTCTCGTTTCGTAGCCCACAGGTTTAATTTTGAACCATAATAGCGGTATGTTGAACTATAATATTTTACAAACTTTTAATCGACATAATAAGGTAATAAATTGAATTCCGTTTCCATTCAATCATAATATTGTATAATCACGTTTACGTGATAACATAGTTTATATATGCGCAGTATTAAGGTTTCGGCAAATTTAAATAATAATGCTCACCATGATTCAAAATTCTTGACAGTACATGGATCGGTAAGTAACATTTTCTAATTATAAAACTAAATGATTTCTTCAATAAGTAGACTCTGTGAAACAATGAATTAACTAAAGGTTTTCCTTTAATGCATTTGATTAAGAATGTATGAAACTGAAATTATTAAACGATATAAGTAAAAAACTATTTTATGGAGGTATCCATGATTTAATTTATTCTGATAAGGAGGGTATTTCAAATCATTAAAATGATGTGTACTAAACTGTTTTCATACTCACTTAAAATAATGGTTTCTCAAAACTTAGCAAAAATATGCTAAAATACTCCATGCATTCAAAGTGGAAACAGCATATACTCATTTTTGAGCAAAGTGCATGTGGAGGGAGGGAGAGATGTATGAGTGAGATGCTCGTTATTCGGTCTATTTAGGTTTATAGTGGAAAGCTCTAACTGCTCCAACCACCCTACTTGTACAGTGCTCAAAAAATAAACGGATCACCCTGAATAACTTTTGATCTAAGGATATTCACGTTCTAGGATTCAATCTTAATGGCTCAAGGACCTAAAATATGCTAATTAATTAGTTTAGATGATATTTTAAGTTACGAAATCAGACACCAAAAGCATATTTTTCTTCTCCCAATGCCCACGTTTGTTGACATTCTGTAATTCAGGCGCATAAGGGCAGATTTGTTGGCCACTCTTTCAGGGGCACCCTATTAGACGGGCCAAAGTTGCTCCCACACTAGGGACAGATAGCACAGAGAATGAAAGAACATCCATGCCATGTCCGGGATTCAAAACCAGAACAATTCTGACACCAAAAACATACTCTCTCTAAATAAACATACCTTTTTTCCGACAGGTTCGAATTTCTGACCCCCAAAATATAGAGGGTAGCTGAAATCTGGGAAATAGGGTTCAAATAGTTTGGCCTGGAGTGCGGTTCAAAGTTTGGACCCTTTAATGTTAATTTTATTTTTTGCGTATTTCGAAAGCTTTTTAAGTGAATTGAATAATTTTTGCGCACAAATATAAAATTCATTTATCCAGAGATAATATCATGCGAAAAGTAACTGTGAGTTTCAATTTATCATTTTATTTAATAATAATCAAAAAAGTTTTGAAGTATAAGGTGTAAATTTTTTTATATCATTTTAAAGGATGTAATTTAACACAACAGAATAAAAAATTTGAGCGAAATTGGTCGAATAGTTCTTATTCTAATATTTCTCATATTGCGGTTACCCCTATATTTTGGGGGCCAGAAATCTGAATCTGTCGAAAAGAAGGTTTTTTTTTTCTTAGAAAGAACTTTTTTTTTGTGCCTGATTTCGTAACTTAAATACACCCTTGAACCATTAAGATTGAGTTCCAAAACGTGGAGATCCGATCATTTTCAAAAGTTATTTAGGGTGGTCGTTTATTTCCATTTATTTATTTATTTTGCGCACTGTACACCTCAGTCCAGGGAGAGTTAAGAAGCTTCATATAGCAATATATTCGCCACAATTAAACATCATGACATACATTCCATTCACTGAAAATTTTTTAAAGTTATTATAAATAACATATTATAGATATTAAACAAATTAGTCGTAGAAGTTACTATAGCAAAATAAGCGAAAAATGAAATTAAAATTACTGATGTCCTGAGTAAGCTATTGGTAAAATAGATTCCAAATTGCTACCCTTTGTACCATTGAAATTGGAAACTGGTATGTCCTGATGTATCATTGCAACGATTACTAAGTTTCCTAATGTTCACTGGACTGAGATGTTTAATTAGGGTGATTTGAGCATCCTGCTACGAATTGGAAAATTCTTGGTTCGAATCCAGCTGGCAAATTTGAATACGTGCTCTGGGAAAAACTATGATCAGAACTACCAGAAAATGATAAAAATTTACTGTGTTTCTAATTATATTAACACCAAAAAACTCGAAGCCGAAGCCTTTTAGCAAAAATTTTGCTAAAATTAATAATAAAATATAGATTGATAATATGAGATAAAATTTTGTAAATGTACTAAAATTTAGAAATGTTGTAATGATACCGGAGAGCATGGTATAAGAACCATTTATTCGGTTAAATTTAGCTTTCAATTTCGTATTTTTTTACTAAATGTGTGGTGATAAGAACTATTACTTTGAAAACCAGAATTCCGGTAAACCGTTTTGTTATTAACCGGAAAACTATCAAATGAAAGGTCTAATAGCCGTACAATTTTGGTTATGATTGCTAGAATTTGGTTGTTTTTTTTTATCAGAAATGTTCTTACCATAGAGTGCGGTGATTTTACTAGAATACTTTCTCCATGCGTGTTTTGCGAATTTGACTAGTATTTGTTTCGAACAATTTCGACGCACTTATGCTCAATTCCGAGAAACGTTTTTTTTACAGTGTACATGTTAATATAAACAGTCATAATTCTAAAATTAAGTCATTGATTAGCTAAAGACATGTAAACGGTATACCTTTTTTATAGTTCCACCGAATATATTCCGTTGTTGTTTCTAAATTCTGAAGCGTAGGAGATGTGGTGTTTGTGAAAGATTCAACTGTATTCAATTCACTAGATGCAGACGTGGGAGACATTGGCACAATATCAAACAGAATAGATAGATCTGTTAAATTGTCAGGAAATTCTGTAGTTTGTTGGGCTGTAGAAGTTTCCTTCACCCATTTATCAGAACTATTAAGCGTGGAGGGTGGTATAGAAACAGTTGATAATAATACTTGGCTATCAGATAACATAGTCTCAAGTCTAGTAGGAAGTTCTTCAGGGTTTGTACTTTTTATATCTTGGTTAGATAGTACCGTTATATTATTTAAATTTAAGGTTGTAAAAGAATTTTCTCCAAAAGATGTATTTTCAGTTGATGCTAATTCACTATTATTTTCCATTATGATAGATGTAAGCAAAGTGATCTGGCTTTCTTGACTTAACGTCAGACTTTCATATTCGGCCGGGTCTGTTGGTTTTACATTCTCCAAAGTAACATAATTGTTTGCTGTACCACTTGCAAAAGCTTCAGTAACCGAATAAATGTGAGCACTATAGTTAACCGAATTTAAATTAATAAAGTTTGAAATATCTTGAATTGTATTTAAACCTGTGTCATTTATTAAGATGTTATTTTCGTCAACATCCAAACTTTGACTAGAATTCGGATATCCTGAAGAAGATTCAAACAAAAAAGCAGTTTGCATATTTGTTGTTGTGGCTACAGTCTCGGTATTATGATTCGTAATATCTGAATAATTTACAATGGGACTTTCTACTGTTGAAGAAAAATCATTTTCTATTGTTTGTGAGGAAGTGTTTTCAGTTGAAAAATTCAAATTACCTATAGGGTGTTCTGTATTTGAAACAGAAATTTTCTTATTGATATCAAATTCGGCACTTTCTGATTTATTTGGAGGCGTGGTAATTCTGTAATCAATGGAATTTAAACTAGAAGGCTTTGCTGCATGGTTATTTATAATTTCAAGTACATTAAAAAGTTCGGAAGAGTTATTAGCTTCATTTTCAAAATCGATTGTTGTAGAATCACTTGTAATTTGTTCTACAATATTTAAAGGACTAGTTGAATCACTAAGCAGATCATGATTTTTAGAATGATTTGCAAGTTTCTGTGGAATATGAATATTTTGATAACTACTATTAATATCAAAATTTGATGAAATATTGTAATTTTCGGAAAAGTTTATATAATCGGAAACAGTAATGTTACTGAAACCCAGAAGGTTTTTAGAAACATTCGTTTCTTGTCCGAATTCATACGAATTTTTAAAAGTGCTATTGGAATCATACTGGTATTCAAATGTGCTTTTGAAATACAACGGTGTTGGTGAGAAATTCTGTGACATATTATTAAACTGTTCGTGATTTTGAGTAATAGGAAAAATGATGCTCTGCTCAAAATCTTGAGTGGGCTTAGCGGAAAGAGAAAAAAATGAAATATTTTGAAAGTAAGAGTTTTTAAGCTCATCTAATGAGATATTTAATATTTCGTCATTGGTTTCGTGGGCTGGAAAACTTGTAAAATTCGTTTCAAAATAATCATTATCAGTGTAATCTTGTGTGTTTTGTTTGGTAGTTTTTCCGTCAATCGTTGTTCTAAATTTATTATTTTCAACAGCAGACATTTTGGTGGTTAGCTCTTTCTCCTTAAAATAACTATTTTTAAATTCTTCCGTATGTTTTTCATTGACCATTGTTGTGCTTGGAGAAGAAGTTTCTGTTTGCAAATTTGAATAAGTATTTGCTGTCATCCCAGTAAGTTCTACATTAATTGGATGCGTTTGCTCGAACCAGATAGGGGAAGTTTTTATATTATTGTTCCTTTCTTGCAGATTATTGTTTGTTATTATGTTGGAATTTATATAACTTTTGCTTTCCTCTGTACCTTCAAAACTCAAAGTTGAAGGATTTGTTTCTGAAAACTCATCTACAGTAAATAAATAATTATTACTATTGCTAAATTCATTTTCTACTGTAGATAAAGTATCTTCTTTTTCTCGAATTTTAGAATCATTGAGATTTTCACTATTTGTTGTTGTTTTAATTTCTCTTTTTGAATCGGTAGTCTCGGTATGAGGCGATTCGTAAAAACCTGTAGTGCGCTTTTTGATTTCATTTGTTAACTCACCATCTGAAGTTTGTTCGATTGTTGAGTATAGATTCTTTTCAGTTATATTTTCCTCCTCAGTTTCTTGAAATAGGTTTTCAGTTTCATACAACTCTGTTGCGTTGTATAAGTCAGTAAAATATTTGCTGGACATAAACCAATATTGAAAAATGGGAGTATGATTCGCGATATCTTTTGTTGTTTCACTAAACTTATTAGAAAATTTAAAAGAATCAAAACTCTGGACATCAAAATCAGGTACAGTGTTTGTTTCTGAAGAGCTAGAGTTTGGCAATTTAAATGTATTTATTTCGATACTTTGATTACTAAGCTGCTGATTTGAGTTTCTTGTATCAATTATTGCATTTTTAAATTCAGTTGTAGATGATAAAATATTACTAACATTATGAGTAAAAGAAGGATTGTCCGTAGGTTGAGTTGATTTTGTTTTTAATGTTACTTCATCTATATTTGAGTTAGAATCTACTAAATGTGAAATGGTATTGCTTTGATAATCAGAACTAAATTGTTTAGAAAAAGATTCATTAAAAGTTGAATTATTCTTTCTCTCCAACATACAACATGCGCCAAAGAGAAATCCATCAACACATGTTGATAATGTTATGCCTTTCAAGCTAATGCAATCCCATTTAAACATGCATATTCCTGTATTGCCAACAAGATCTCGACATGATTTCTTTGTCATTGCCACAATTTTTCCTAAAAGAAATAAAATAGATTAATTACTAGAGAAAACACACATTGAATTTGATGTTTCAATTAAAAGACTAATCATTTTTATTTTCAATAATTTTGTTGTTGTTGTTGCAGTTCATTTACGTCGCTCTAAAGCTGCACATTGGGCCATTGGCGACAGTCTGGAAAGCATCCTCGAGGATGATCCGAAGACATGCCCTCACAATTTTGATCCTCTGCAGAGGGGATTGCACCCCCGCTTCGGTAGTCCAACGACCTGCCCTTGAAGTTGAGTACTTTACGGTAGAACAGTTTGTCGAGGACCACACCCGCGGTCCTTACACATACTGATCCATTTGGTCACCCACCCACACACTGACAGCAGCCAGTGATGTTTGACTTCGGTGATCTGCTGGGAACCGTGTCTTTTCCACTCATCTTGATCAGTCCACTGAGGGACCAGTAATCGCACACAAACAGAATTTAAGTAGCTTAACAAGCGCTATGAAACAGAAATAACTAGACTTAAATAGAAAAATGATCTAAAGAAAAATTTCACTGTGTCAGATAAATTTTTGTTAAACAAAGAAACATTACAGAATAATTTTTTTCTTTTAACAAAATAACGTGCAAAAAAAAAATTTATTTAGTATTTCACACATGCACGTTTGCGTGATATATAGCATCGCAAGATTTTGTCTTAAACCCAGACCACTTATATAACACACAGCCGATAACTTGATATCGAATAATCAGGAGTTTCATGTATATGAAGTTTACAAAAAATGCATTTCATTCATAATTCATATTAGATCAGAATGCACAGTGTGCCAAAAAAAAAAAAATACGCACCACCCTGAATAACTTTTGATCTAATGATCAGATCTTCACGTTCTATGGCATAATCTTAATGAATTGCTAGAGTGACCTCGAATATGCTAATTTATTGAGGCAGATGATATTTTAAGTTACGAAATCAGACACAAAAACGCATTTTTTCTAAATAAACATTCTTTCTTTTCGATGGATTTGGATTTTTGATACCCAAAATATTTGGAAAATAGTCGCAATCTGGGAAATATGGTCCCCATAGTTTAGTCAGGAGAGCAATCAAAAGTTTGAACCCCTTAATGTTAATTTTACTTTTTGCGCATTTCGCCATATCACGAGAACTTTTTAAGAGAATTGAAAAACAAAATTCCCACAATTATAAAATTCATTTATCCAAAGATGAAATCCTATGAAAAAAAATTTGTAAATATTTATTATATTTTATTATTTTTATATATAATAAAATATAATAAGTAAAATATAATAAATGAAATGTAATAAATAAAATATAATAAATAAAATATAATAAATATAATAAATGAAGTATAATAAAAATTTTATATATAATAAAATATAATAATCTATAGTCGAAAATAGTTGAAATGCACGGTATACAATTATTTACATCATTAAGGAATTATTCAACCTATTTTGATCAAATCCTGCCTTTTGCCATATATTTCCATGTTTGCCATGTTTTTTTTCCATTTTTTTTACTATTACTTAATAAAATAGTTAAAAATAATAAATACTTACTAAAATTTATTTTTTGCATGAAATTATCTTTCGATAAACGAATTTTATAATTGTGTGCAAATATTTTTCAATTAGCTTGAAAGCTCTAAAAAGCTTGAAAGCTTCGTTTGAAGGCTCTAGAGATATGGCGAAATGCGCAAAAAGTTAAATTAATTTTAAGGGGTCCAAACTTCGGATCGCTCTCCTGATCAAACTACAGGGATTCATATTTCCCAGATTGCTGCTACACCCTATATGTTGGGGGTCAAATATCTGAATCCGTAAAAAAAAAGGTATATTTATTCAGAGAAAGTACATTTTTGTGTGTCCGATTTCGTAACTTAAAATATAGTCTGCACTAATTAATTAGCATATTCGCGGTCACCTCCTTGAACCATTAAGATTGAGTTTTAGAGCATGAAGATACGATCATTAGATCAAAAGTTATTCAGGGTGTTTCGTTTATTTATTTTTTTTGACATCTGTATTTCTTATTTTTTCCTCAGCAAAAAGGAAAACTACAAAAAGTTCTTAAAATACGATAGAATCACTATCAGAAGCACTCCCATTTTTCTCACTCTAAAGTGTTATTTTTAAAATAATAAATGTTAATCTTTAAACAAAATGTATTGGACTCAAAGTAGATAGTATTAAAAAGCCAAACGATGCCAAACGATTTATTTTTTTTTAAATTTAAAACTAATCAAAATGTCTGCAGAGTTTAACGCATACTTTTCTTATATTATTAATGTAATGATGAAAGGAGTCTTGCAAAAACTTAAAGTAAGAGACGAAATTTAATACAATTCAGAGACAATTAAATTTAATGCAATTCAGAGACAGTTAATTTAATACAATTTCATGCTGGAAGTGCGATGAATAATTTCTGTTGTATGGATGGAACAAGTATGAAATAAAAATTCTCTAGGCCGAACTTGAAAACAGCATATATAGGCAATTTTAACACCTTCAATATTGCTTTTTTCCCAACGCCTGTACATTCCATCTAAAACGCACTGCCATGGGGAAAAACAAGACTACCGAAACCATGGTAATAAAGAAGGGGGAAATGGAGCGAGTGGTTGAATCATGTAATCTTATAGTTTGTCTAAAGTAAAAACTCCCCTAGCCATTCGTCTGGAACCCTGGTGGTGATCATGATAACGAGATATAATTATTTTAAGTTGGGGTCATTGTTTAGGACAGGTTTTGGCTCCGGTCGGCGAGAGAAAGGGAATCTTTTTCTTCAGTCTATCGTGTTAGCAATAGAGTGAAGCAAAACTACTGAAATGTGACATTCTTGTTTTCATAGCAGCAGACGGTCTCAGACTTTGTGGCTGAGGGAGTTCTCACCGTAGAAAAACTATAGGAAGCCTATTTTATTTACGAAGAATGTAATTTGGGAAAATCAATCGAATCGTTTCACATAGAATTAACTCATTGTAAGATTTGAAGAAAGTAGTACTATGAAACAACAACGGAAATGACTTTTATATTTACCTTGAGAGGGATATTTCTTCTGAGGAGGAAGAGGATAATTCCATGCACAGCTTATCAAGAGCAATATAATGCCTGTTATAGTAAAAGTCCTTATATCTACATTTGTTGTCATCGCACAGTAAAATTGAGCATCTGAAAAATAATAGCTACATTGTTTACAATTTTAAAAGAAGAAAAAAGTTAGAGAAACTAATTCATGTAACAACACATAGTTAATAGCACACTATTCAGATATTTGAACCTAAATTTACATTTTTGAAGACTATTAAATTTGTTCAAAGAATTAGTTAAATGTTTCCGCAAAGAGCATTTAATTACGGCACAGCGATTTAGCTAGTTTTTATCTTGTTTTCTTGTTTTAATTCTAAATCAACCAAGCATTGAGCTTTTTTTTTTCCTGTTTTCAAACCAGAGTCAACCAAGCATTGAACTTTTCTTCCAGTTTTCAAACCAAAGTCTACCAAGTATTGAGCTTTTCTTCCTGTTTTTAATCCTAAATCAAACAAGCATTGAGATTTTTTTTCCTGTTTTCAAACCAAAGTCTACCAAGTATTGAGCTTTTCTTCCTGTTTTCAATCCTAAGTCAACTAATCATTGAGCTTTCTTTCCTGTTTTCAATCCTAAGTCAACCAAGCATTCAGCTTTTCTTCTGATATTTCCTGTATTCCCTACATACATGCATTTTTAATTTGAGTAAAATCTCTTTTTGCTCTAACTCAATGACATTAGCTAGTTGTAGTTAGATATTCCAAATCTCAGCAAAAATTCATTACCTGTGAACTCATGTATTCTTAAACTTTTTCAATTTGCGGATTTAAAATTTTTTAATGGTACCTTAGCCACTTAACATTTGTCAGCGAGATCCATCCATATGTTAGAACGCATTATGTATATAAAATACATGTTTCATAAGGTGACCCAAACAAAGGCACCGTTAAGCAATTTAATCATTCTAATCTTTGTTTCAAATAATTTGAAAATTCCACAAGGTTTTCACATTACAGGTGGTTAAAGACGAGAATTGAATTTAAAACAGCAGTTAGATCTATTAAGGGGCAGTGCCTATGTTGAGTATCTATACCTATATTTAGAACTCATGCACATAATACACTTTTTAAAATTATACGAACAAAATTTTGAATCAATAAAAAACTATGTTCAGATGGACATAAGAAATGAATTTTTTTTCTTTGATATTAAGACTAAAACACTGTTAATGCACCCAAACACTGCATACATTGCACTGTATAATGGCTATTTGTTTTCCTTTATGACACATTACAAAATAGCAGAAGTCTTTTAAGATGTATAAACCACAGTAGGATGATTGAGCAGCGTCAGTTGTTACGATTTTGGTCATGAGTTTAGATTTGAGTGCTGATTTTGACTTCAGTTGCTTTTTACTAAGCAGCTGGTTTCTAGCACTGACCATATTAGGACCTCTTTCCATGCCAATATTAGACCAAGTGACCATCTTCTTCTCCTTCATTTCTTTATCAGCATTACAGCCAAAGTTTTCTCAACTTTCTTCCAAACAGAACAATTTGACGCAAAATTTCGTAATCACTCTATTCTGGAAGGTCATGAAAAAAAAATTCAAAATATGAAAAATAAAGAATTTTCCTTAATTTTTCTCTATATGGTTTAATGATGAAAGCAGAATAGCTTTATATAGAAGGAACACGTTCAAAGTATCAAGATTTAAAATAATTTTTGCTACGAGCAATACCGGTTCGTTGCTTTGCTGCGCCATAATTATTTACAAAGAAAAGTGACCACCTTATCTTTTCTCACCTCATTTACATTTCTTTAGCTTATATATCAATATCAGCTTTCAAAAAAATTGGAAATCAAACATGTTCACTCAAATATCAATATTACGTATACACTGTAAAATTTACCGGCACCCATTGTGTCGGTACTTATCACCAAAAAATCCCTTTGTACCGAAACATGTTACGTAACAAAAAAATCTGATATATCGTAATTTTTAACGTAATAATTGCAGTAAAATCACTGAATCACTCAAATTAAATAAATATTACTGTACAAGGAACGGTTTAATATTTATGATAAATAAGAGGATTTTACGGATGATGCAAGTGTTGGTAATTCATACTGTAATCAGATCCAAAATTTTTTAAAGTGTAGTCTGAGTTAATCATCAAAAAATTTAGACACCAATCTCAATTTTCACTGGATCAGGCAGATAAATTTAGCACGTATTAGTTCATAAAAAATTTATTTAGTTCTATAACACAACTTATAGTATAGTAAATAGAATAAAATAAAAAAAAACTGATTAAATTGACTTTTTCTAAATTTAATTAAAATTAGCTAGGCATATATTTTTTGTAATGAAAATTAAACTGCAGTTACTATTGAATCGTATGATCTAGATATTTCGAAAGAACTACAATAAATAAAAGAATTAGATTAGTTTTGAAATTGGTATGCAAAATATGTCGGGAATGCTGTAAGAAAAGTTAATTACTTTTTATTATGCTTGATACTTTGTATCTTATTTAACACATGTTCATCAGCTCTTAAAAGTCGAATTCAATTTAAAATCACTAAATTGTGCAACTGATTTTAAAGCATTCAGGCAACCTGAGTTTTAAAAAAAGGAAAGTTAACCATTGCCAAAACAAACAATTTCATTACCAAAAAACACCTTACTAGAGTTTACTGTTGGTCACATTAAATAAAAGTAAAGCAAATGAAATAATTTCCTTATTTTATAGTAAATGTTGTTGTTGTCTTGTCCAGTAGTGTAAGGAAAATTAAATTTGTCCAAAAGTATCTAAAACAGCTTTGGCCGCATCAATAATCTCCATGGAATAGAGAAGTTGCTGCGGGGGATCCAGATGGATCCTGAAGAGCTACGCCAATATGGCTGGGCAATCAAAGACATGGTCGGGAGAGAGTTCGGTGTCAATGCAGTGAGGACAACTTCTGTTGCTTCGATGGCCATCGGGAGATATTTTCATTCCCTTCAAGTGTTTAGTCCTGAATCTAGCTATGATTCTGGAAATGGCTCGATCACAGTTTAGGGCAGGAATGGAGTGCTACTGAGGGTAAGTCTGCGGCTGGCTATCGCATCAGTTAGGGTCAGGCTGTTGGAAAGTTGGGAGTTATCTCGGGCCTCCTTGGCCAGGATGTCAGCTTTCTCATTACCATCGATATCGACGTGCGCTGGTATCCATTGAGGGATACAAGTTCTTTGGGCAGTGGTTATTTCGTTTAAGAGCAGGAGGATATCTTGGGTGAGTTAAGTCTCCTCTTAAAATGGCCTGGAGGGCAGAGCGAGAGTCCGAGAACAACAAAAATCCATTAGAATTTTGGATTGCCTTGGAGTAGTAGAGGTTCAAAGCCTCCTTTATAGCTACCAGCTCGCAGGTGTAGTTTGAAGCACTTTTACCGACAGAAATTTTGAATAATTCAGATTTGCCATTAGCATAGGTCAAAAAGATGCTAGCACCACCTCGGTCAAGACTAGAGTCTGAAGAGCCATCTGTTAAAGCGATGGCCATATTTTGAGTCGAATTTGAAAGCTCACGACCTTTTGAAAGCGTGCAGACCTTTCTCCTTAATCACTGCAGATGGTTCTTTTTTCGTGCAGGGCTGTAGAAGGTTTAAATTTATTGTTACCTTAGGTGAGGGACTGATGGGGAAAGAGATGTTATAGTAAATATTTCAAATTAATATAAGAAAACAGACCATAATAAGCATTTAATTGTTAATTTCATTCGCTACTCAACTGAGTGATTTAAACAAACAATGAGTTATAATACTGAAATGAAGTAAGTAAAATAAAATTCATACAAAATTTAAATATACCTTAATATGATAAGAAAAGTAAAAGGATTTGAGAAAAAATTAAACATAATTAAATTGCCGGAACTTTGTTTGCACACTGCGTTAAGGCTATTTTTCGAAGGCTTCGTTGTAATTTGAAGTGATGAAATGATGCTACTTTGTGAATAGTATGCTATTTTTATTACTATTGTGAGTTTGCAACTGTTAATCCTATCTAAAGCTAGCACTGTTAACGCTTATTTTGAGAAAGGCGCAAAACGTCAATATGGAGCAAAGCCACAGTTTTGTAAAAATGAAAAGCGTTTGTGGTCTAATTTTTTAATAACTATAAACTTACTCCAATGGAGCATTACCTGGGCTCATAAAAATTTGCGAAAATTGAGAATACAGCAGTGATTTTGATAATTTTCATCTAGGTGGAAAAATGTCGTCAAATTGGCAATTTTTAAAAAAAGTTTCATAACTTTTAAAATGTTTAAGTTATTTGTTTGTTCTGAAGCCCAAATGATTCTTCACGGCAAGATTTTAAAATCATCGCATTGCTTCAAGTCTAAGGCACTTAAACTATGTCTCTTTTATTTTCCTTAACGATAGAGCTTCGAAAAATAACGTTAAATTAAAATTTAATTAACAGTTTTTTTCATGATTTACGAGTTTACATATACTCACAAGAATGGACACTTTAATAAAAATTCAAATCGGAAAGCTAACTTAATATACTAAATAAAGCAATAGCATCTAAATAATAAATAATTTACAGTTATACCTAATTATCTTTAAGACATCCATGACTTAAATCCACTGGGCACATTCTGAGCTCATTGTAAGTTTCTTTTCATTCCATTTACTCCACAATGATAGTGCATTTACTTGTGCTCGCTGTTTCAGAGCACATACCATTCTTCTCAAAACACCGAATAAAGCTTGTCCCATGAAGCACATGATGAAGATTAGATGATATATGAAAACTACAAAATATTTGAAGCATGTAAACATAAGAGTAAAATAAACATATTATTGAAATGAAATAATCTAACAGATTTTAAGCATATTATCAATCTCATTGACGAAAAAAAGCAAGCGGATTTTGTGGCAGCATTAAGAGAATTACGACCAGAATGCTTTGAAAATTTCATTAATAACTTACAATTTCAGTTCATTATATAGTTATATTTAATCAATTATAAACAAACTTAAAATAAATACCACCATTTTCGGTTAGTTATGCCGCTTTTCAATTTGACACATCTGCTAATTTAAGAGAATTTGCTTTAGAAATTAACTAATTCGTGTATGAGAGCTTTTTTGCATCATGTGTGATTGGGACTAAATATGATAATAAAATATGCGGGTTTATATTACTCTAGAATACGGGGTTTATAAATTTATTAATCAGAATATTTGCGAGTACATTTCTAACAATTTTAAAACGTAAAAATTAAAAATACGACGGATTAATGAAGTTGATATTTAATTTCAGGATCATTGTTTTAGTTTGAATACATTGAATATTAATCTCCGCCTAGAATCTCAATATAGAATCCCAGCGATTTCTGCTCGATTCAAATTCTACACCCGGCTCACACCGACCACCGTGCTGACGTAAAATATCCTCAGTGGTAGACGGATCATGGGTTAGAGTCCCCTTGCCGCCAGGCTAACCATACTAGGTCTTCGTAATTTTCTTCTCCATGTAACGCAAATGTGGGTCAGTTCCATCGAAAAGTATTCCACGAAGGCAAATTTCTCCCAATACTTGATCCAGGAGTTTCCTAGTCTTTTGGATTAGATGCAAAATTACAAGGCTACGGAGTTTAACATTGGTAGTCGAAACCCAAAATCGGGTCGTCTGTTAAACGACTGTTGTAAAGTAAAATAGTTACATAAGATTAACATAAATTTAAAATATTTCAGAGAAATAAAAGTGCAAGTTCAAAGACATACGAGCAACATGCCGATAATGGGAAAGCGCCTCTAGCACCGTAAGATGACATTTCTGGCCATGGTTTCCTAGGTAATTCTTATTCTTTATGATGTGTCCTACTTTCCCTAGAAGTTTGTCTCAAAATTTACAGGACACCGTGCATATTTTAAGGCATCCTACTTGTTTCGACACACTTCTTCTTTAAAAAAAGGTTTAATAAAAATGTTAATTTTATTTTTCGAAAGCAGGATTTCGGAAATTATAAATTTAAAGTAAAGATTAAAAATTTACAGAACATTTTTCAAAATAAAGGTAAATTTTTGCTCTAAAACAAAGAATTTTGCATGTCATACTAACAGCTCTAGAACTAATTCATAAATTTCAAAATATTTTTTTTTCTATATCAATGATGTGATTACCTGTGCTTTGAGCTGAAATCTTAAAAAAAATTCTAAAAGACAATGAAATCAATTAAATAAATGAAATATTGTTTAATATTGAATTTTTAAGGGAAATTCTAAATATTCTTTCTTAAAGCTTAATGAAAATAAAAATTTCCCACTTAGACCTTAGTTCTTCCTTCAAAAACTGACTAACATTATTAAAACACCTACATACAAAATTTAAAATTTTTCTGATTAATGCACTTAAAATGCAAAAAAAAAATCTAAGAGCAAAAAATAAATGAATAAATAAATAAAAAATAACAAATCAAAATTCAATTCCTATAAATGAATTTTATTTGTTTTAAATATATAATTTATTAAAATAAAAATACTCTTAGTTAAAATACTCTTAGCATAACAAAAAACATTACAAATTCGTTTTCCAGAGTATACTTCCGGTTTTGATTTTGATTTCGTCTGTGTGCATGCGAAAAAACTATCATATTTTCATTTCTAAATATTGGAAATCAAACTTTTCAAGGGTTTTGGAAAGTCATTGAATTTTAGTTCAAATATAAATAATAAAAAAAAGTCAAAATTTTCTTCGAAATTGCGGATTTTCACCCAATCAGATACCTTAATGCGTATTCATTTCTAATTCCTTTATAAGGTGTCAAGGTTCATGAACCTCTGCACCCCTCAAATAACCACAATCTTGCTGAAGCAGTGGAAGTCTTCTTTGCCTACTGGTAGGCAATGCCACCTATGTTAAGAAACTATGATTTAAATGTGTTAAAATCTTACAACCACTCAAGATAACGAAATTATAAAGTTCAGAGAAATTGTTTTAGACATTAAAATAAAAATCTAGAATTTATAAAAGAAGTTTTCTTTTACACGAAGTTGCATTACTATTAGACGCATTGGACTTATGTCAGTAGAAAATAAACGAAGCATTACAATCGAAAAGAGATAAAACTAGTTCACTCCTGGTTAGTATCATCTATATAACTGTCTATCAGATTAATGGGTATATGTTTAAATAGTTATTTTTTTTCCTCCAATAAAATAACAATTCTAGATGAGACAAAAAGTTCATTATTTTATTTTATGTTTTTTTAAGGATGGATCTTTTTATGCTTGGTGAAGCGAGATTCCTTAATAAATTTTGATAAGAGAACTACTAACTCAATGAACGTCAGCCTTAAAGAAAAAAAAACTTTTTCACAATATCTTCTCGTATTTTATTCAGTTGAATAACACCCTCCAAAATGAACAAAAAAGAAGTTTCGTAGCGTGAACGTATCTTGGCATTAAAAAGTTTTTGGTGAAATATATCATTGGCGCTTTGTTAAATTTGATTTTTTTTCAATGTTACTCACTAATAATAACTGCTAACAATATTTAATCAATTGGGAAAAAATGTTTCTCTTTCTACAAATTCGATGAAAATAAAATTCTTAAATGAACTTACAGGCATTTTGAAGCTTTCCTTTTTTAGACTTCAACCATTGTTTAGATATTTTAAATATAAATGGCATAGTTGAGTCAAAAAACTTTATTTTTTTTCAGGCATATACAGGACAGAACAGAATACAGTCATTTTATTCATATAATACTACACGTATTATATCAAAATGTTTTTCGAAATACAGAATCGTTCTCAGAATAAGAAATTACCTTTACACGTCTTTTAAAGAAAAATAGAATAAAATTAAATAATTTGAATTGAACTACCCAATAAAAAGCATGACGGTTTGTGATGGACAATTATGATTGTAGCCAGTAAATTATATTGGATCATGATGGATTTTTTGTTGGCCCATTATAAAAATCCATCATATTGTGTTGAGTATCCTATGCTGGTCCATAATAAAAATCCATCATACAATCTTGTGTATGCTATGTTGGTCCATCATAAAAATCGATCCTACTATGTTGAGTATGCTAAGTTGGCCCAACATGAAAAGGTGTCAATTCCCAACTTGGGATGTTAGGCAGATTCGATGGTCCCAGCAAAAAGCATGATAGAAAATTAAAATGGTGACAAGTAAATTATATTGGATCATGACGGATTTTTTTGTTGGCCCATTGTATAAAAATCCATCATACTATGTCTGGTATCCTATGTTGGTCCATAATAAAAATCCATCATATTATGTTAGACATGCTATGTTGTTCCAACATGAAAAGGTGATGATCCCATCAAGCTGTATGTTGGTTCTTGATGGAAATTCAAGATGGTAAGCAACGCATTAATGTTGGTGCACCAATGAAAAACCATCAGGATTTTTTGTCTAGGGTAGAATAAGCTATGCAAACAAGAGAATACTATAAATAAATGAAAAAAGCAAACCTAAATACACAAACTAAATAGCAAACCTAGATACACAAACAAAATATGCAATAATAAAAAACAGCTAAGAATGCAGCAGCAGTGTCGTCAGGGGGAATTTTTTTTTCTGACTGTCCAAAAGTTCTTCAACCATCCTTGAGCAGTTTCTACATATTATCAAAGTACCAACCCGAAACTTCGAGAGCAAAATAGTAATAATAATAGTAATTTTAGCAGCTATACTGAACAAGATAATTAAAGAAGAGAGTAAAGAACATGCATCTTAATTTAGTACTAAAGCAAAGATACGTTAGAACAGGCAGTATTTAAAACATCATAAAGTGGAAATAAAATTTTACAAAAATATTACTTAACATGTCTTATACAAATTGTTTATGAGTAATAGAGATAATTTTAGTGGACAAAAATGTTAACGTTTACTGGAAAACATTTTGGAATATCTTAAAAATTCTAATTTATAACGTTAATTACAGTTATATAAAAGAGGAAGCTATAGCTTTACTGATTACTGCCATTTATTAAGTTTTATTGCTTTACTTTAATTCTGTTTTAGTTCCAACATGAAACTTATGGGTAATAACTATTCTTACGAAATTATTATTTAGTTTTCAATTAAAAAATTTTAATACTTTATAATTAAAATGTGTAACAGTTTTGAAATCAGATATTTTAAAAAAAATTTATTTTATGTGCTTTAAATTATCTTTAGATAAACATGTTTTTAAATTGCAAGTAAAGGATTTAGGTACGGGCAATTACGAGTTAAATACTTGAGACAAAATCATTTTAACTTGGTACATAAAAAACATGAAGACATGACGAATGAGTCGGAAATATAAGTAAAGGCATCCGGTGCGCCTGACCTCATTGTCACCATGCTTCTTGCTTTCTTTATTTTTTGATTTGTATAAAACTTTTGAATGAAAAAAAATGTAACTATTATCTAATAACAAAGATTCAAATGTTCTTTACTGTGAAAATTTTTGCTTTTTTAACTAATTTTATTATATTCTAAACTTACAAGTAAGCTCAAATTTATTTGTGCGCGTAAAAACAATTATTACCGAGTGTTATTTAATGATTTCTACTCAGAATTCATTTTGTCTGAATTCTTTTTAAAAATATGGTTTTGCTTCTTTCGTTACGCTACAATAAATATATAACTTAAAGCATTCCCAATACAGCCGGCAGTGGGCCAAGGGTGTCTTGGGGGTTAAGGATCCACAATTTTGAACCAAACAGCATAATTGTTGAAAAGTGGTCAGAACTCAGCACACGCCGTCTTCACTTCCCAGGCAAGTTGGAATCCCATCGATATGTAGGTGGGCGGGCTTAAAGATGCTACTAGGGATCGAGACCCAGTTTCTCCCGGTGATAGCTAACCACTGAGCCATCGCGGCTCCAATAAATATTTAACAAGAGATAATTACACTAAGCTTTTAATAAGGCTGTATTCAATAAGTCTATATTACTCTAGGCTTATTACAAGCTATCTCTAATTAATCATTATAATTTCGCAATAAATGATATATTTTGTTATTTCTGCCTAAAACTGCGTGAGCTTACTGGTGTTAGCCTAAAAATTGTTGGGTTGATTAGAAAATACTGGAGATTTCTCCAAATAACCTGGTGTATCATAAAATGACTTAACCGTTAGAATGGAGCAGTATTTCTTTTTATCTGCATATAATTAAGAGTCAAAATTGTCATGCAACATCTTGATAAAAGTAATTACTTGTAAATAATTTTACATTATAACGAAATGATATAATTTATAACTTTTATATATATATCTTAAAGTATCAATATCTTTTGAAAAATATGAAATTCCTCTTTTATCCTTTGCAATATTTTATTATTTCGTTTTGTTTGAATTAGTCTATTATATAATATNGGTTGAGTAATTTTCTTATTGAATTAAATTTTATATGTATATATATATATACAGAGGGAGAAAGAGACATTAAAAAATATATATAATTTTAATAAAAATAATAAATATATTTTATTTTACTCTTACTTTCGGAAACGCCAAATATCGGTTAAGAGCATATTATGACAATCATTAAATATTACATTTTTTTATCATGTATGTTAGTGATATTTTATAAGAAGGAAACAAATAAAAAAAAATTTTTTTTGTAATTTCTCAAGTCTCTAGTTAAAACGAGTTGAAAATGGTAAACACCATTGCTAAGTTCATCGACGTTCGGCACGTCTTTCTCCAAACAGTGAAACTGGTTTTGATTAAAATTATATCAACATTGTTTTGACCCTCACCCTAATATTGAAAAGCTTTCAGTTCAAACACTAGTTCCTAACATTTTTCCTTAAACAGTACATACCTCAAAAAAGAGTTAAAACGATTGGTATTAATCTGTTTGAAAATAGTTTGGTATTATTTATTTGTTTGAAATATCTTCGGTCTGTTACAAATAATTGAATGAACTTCACTTATCCAAACATTTGAAATGAGGAAATGGTTCATGGAAACAAAGGGTTAGTGAGACTGGAAATGTAAAGTTATCATTGTTTCATCATTTTATATGAATTTCAAAATCAATTCTACAATTTTTATGTTTTAATTAACGAAGTTAAATGAAGAATTCCTTATTTAGAAAGTGAAATTTACTGAAATTTACTACAACTACAAAATGCGATTGCAAAATGACAATGAAAGTTTGAATTGACAAAATGGCAATTAATGCCTCGAAAGTTTCCTTTTCGAACCACTTTTGAACCACATTTTTTACAAAAGTTTTCGTCATGCGTCGATAATTGCTTTAAACATTTAATTCGAATTTATGTTGGTTGTGGTTAAATTTATTATGAAAAAAAAAACATCACAATATAAGAGAAGCATAAAAGTAAATTTAATGGCCCCAAAGACAAACATATGGCAATACTTTTACTTTAGTTTCAAGCAACACAAGCGAAAGTTAAAATTATTTGGAATTACTTGTAACTTCGATACTCTTTTCGGAAAAAAAATTATTTGCGAAATAGTTAAATAATCGACAATTTGTTTTTTGTTTTTTACTTGTACCTTTAAGTCATTACTTTTCAAAATATATTCCTTCGGGTACACAAGATTTCATGAAGTTTTAAAAGTTATTAATAAAAATAATTTTAAGACAATTTATATTTTCAACATTTAATTTAATTGAAAATAGCATGCTTTATTATTTAAATATTAATGAAACATATACACTTTATATCAATACCAAACCTAGGAGTCATTTGAAAACAAACATAATTTTTGTAATTTCTATCTTCCGTTTTATTTTGATTTAGTAATTTAGAAAATATTTATTTAAATATAAAAGCGCATTCTAACGATTTTTCTAACCGTATTTGTAACAAAAACGCAACAAAAACCGGAAGTCATCGATGAATCAACATTGTAATTACTAAATTCTTTACTTCAATATTGAGCTATAAGTTTTTAAAATATATTTTTATTCTTAAGCTATTGTTGAATTCGTGTTATTTTAATAATAAAATAAAAAAATTGGAATTTTTTATTTTGACATAAAAGTATTTTTTTTTGTTTTATTTATTGTTGCATTATTATAAAAAGGCAGCGAAATCCGGAAGTCATCTAAGAATCAACATCGTAATTATCTAATTCTTAACTTCCATGTTGACTTATAAATTTTTAAAATACTTTTTTGTTATTAGATAATTATTAAATTAGAGGCATTCTAATGATAAAATTTTAAAAAATTGCAATTCCTTGTTATTACAAAACATTTATTTTTGTTGTTGTATTTTAAGTGAAATGCAACGAAATCTGAAAATTATACAAGAATTAGCATTGTAATTACTAAATTCATAACTTTCATCCTTGTATATAATTTTATTAAATACATTTTTATTCTTATGTTATTGTTAAAAAACAATACATTACTGAAAAGCTTCCAAGTGCATATCATTTCAAAACATTTATTTTTTCGAGAAATAAAAAAACAACTTTCCTAATTCAGATAAGAAAAATAATAAACACTATTTTCAACTTACAAATTAAAAATATTTCTTGGAATTTTCCATTTGTTGAATTCAAAACACACTTTCACTTCCAGGTTGTAGTGGAACGGTATTTCTATCTATCAACTACACTACTGTAACATCAGAATAAGACTGACTTCGGAAGTTCACTGGACAAGTTTACGAGTGTTATTGACCCCTGAAGTTAACGGTCATGGTTCCACCATCGTGATTTCTAAGGCCCGCCGGCTACTCACTTGCTCATCATATTCCTCAAAATCATCTTCTTGTTTTGCTGCGGTTGAAGAGGAATGAAAACTAAGGGGACAGAACCCCTCAACTATTTTGGTATTTGTTGATATCAAACATTCCCTCAGGCATTCCTTTGTTTGTCTTCTAGAAGTCTAGGTCGTTTTCTTATTACAAACAAGATTTGCTTTGGCTTGATTGTGCCGTTATATATTTTATTGATGGATTCGTGATTCACTTGGTTTACTTTCTTTTGAAGACTGTTTTGTTATACTTGAATTTAATTTTTTTTAACCAAAAGAATGCTTTTTCTTTAATTTTAAAAACTCAATTGAATTTAAAAACATGTAGCTTTCATCGCAAATAAAAAAAAGTAAATTTATTTATTTATTTTTCAGCATTCGTCAGATAGGCGTAACTCTTTTAGAAAACGAAACTGATATTTTTCTCATTTAAGAGTTTAATTGTGATATATGCATGAATGATTTCACACGAATTCGAAAATATAGGGGTAATTCTAGGAAAATACAAACCGTAGGGAAAAAAATTAAATTTAAAATCTTCAGCATAGCTTACTTTTTAAAAACAATATTCATTTAGTAATCCTAAATAATACTTTATAGAGAGCAAAGTAGTTAACAAACTTTATACAGTAATCCTTTATAATACTTTATCGAGAGCAAAGTAGCTTACCAACATTATATAGTTACCCTATATGATACTTTCAGAAAGCAAAGTAGTTTATAAACATTAAAAAGTAACCCTATATAATATTTTATAGAGAGCAATGTAGTTTACAAACATTAAGGACTGACACTTTTACTTAGCGTTATTTACAACAAAGCTTTTTAAAAAAACTCAGACTGAATTCTATTGCTTAATGATTTAGAGAAGACAGGAAAATGAAAACATAAAGAATCCACCTACGATTTAAAATCTATTTAAATTGATTTTTCTCTGAAACTATCTACTCTGTTCCTACTGGAAGATTTATTTTAACGAAAAGGTTTAACAATCATGCATTTAAACAAAAATAATTAACGCCAGCGTCATGTAAGTAGGTTATAAAGAAGTGAAAATCAGTGGCTAGAAAAATAACATATATAGAGTGGCATTATTGACTAAAAAATTTATCTTTATCTAATATTTTGGAATTCATTCCTCGTGCAAATACTGCAAAAATTTCTTTAGTTTACAAGTAAAAAATTAAACGGAAAGTCCAGTTTTAAAGTAAGTAATTATTGAAAACTTACTTTAAGAAGACCCGCCAATGAAATGACATTTTGAAACTCAACCTACTAATCGACATAATTTTTAGACCCAGTATATAATCATTCAAATAACTAACAATAATTGTATTAATTAAACTTTAAAAATTTTCTTGTTATTGTTAGATACTATTTTCAGAAAAAAGTATGGTCAAAACTACGAGAACATGGTACAATTTACCGTACAATTTAGCTCTATGGTAACACCGAAAAGCTTCGTAATTTTTACCGAAGTGCTTTGGTAATTTTTTTTGGTAAAATTAACAGTAAATATTATATTATAATATGTGATAAAATTTGCTAAATGCAGTATAAACTCAGACACGACATTTTATCATGATACATTAATCAGGACATGAAAACTATCGATTCGTAAAATTCGCTCTTCAGTTTTGTATTTTCTTACTAAATGTGTGGTAAAAATAATTCTAATTTCGAAAACCAGAATTTCCGGTAAACCGTTACCATATGAATGGAAAAAAATATCAAATGAATGGTTTAAATACCTCATATTGTGGTTTCATTAACCAGAATTATAGTTGTTTTTCTTTTTTTACTAGAAATGCCAATATCATACAGTACGGTAATTTCAACAAAATTCTTTTAATAAATAGTCGTATTTGGGGAGAATGAGTCTTATGTTGAAGTACTTACCTCCAAATCTGATGGAAACGCTCTTTAAATGTTTGCAATCCACACCTTTTAGAAGACTTAATATGAAAAATATCGTTCTTCAATAAATGAGGGGAAAATAATGTTTAGGCATTTCATCATATGTCCCTAAGTTTGACTTTGCTTAAAGCGCTTTTTAGAAAGAAAAGCATGTTGCGAAAGTTAAAATGCCAAACTTTTGTGGAAACAGCATCTAGGTTATGAACATTATATATTTTTAATAATTATAATTTTGATATGTATTAAACTATGTCGGACTTTATAACTATATTTATTTATCGATTCATATGTTTAAACCCATTTCACAATCTGAATTTATATCATTAAACTGAGTAGAATTCTACAAAGTTTCAAGTATTGTTTCGAAGAAAAAGATGTAAAATATTCTCTGAAATTTTAGCATATTTGATAAACTTTGGTGAATATATTTTATTAGATATTAATATAATAATTATTAGTAGGAATTTTATTAACCTAATGTTTCGCATAAAGGTTTATCTTGTTTTTCTCATTGTTTTATTATAGATATAACTTTCTCCATTAATGCATGAAGATTAAACTGAATTTTTACTATTGAATTCAATCAAAATGTGAAGCATTTTTTTGTAAAATTCTAATTCTGCAAAATATTAAGTATTGTAAATAATGAGGGCATTATCAAATATATTATTGTATATTGTGTTCAATGACCTATTAATGGACATAGTACTTCTCCTCGGATATCACGCAGTTCTCAGTAGTTTTAAATAACAGTTATAAATTTCTCCCATAGTGTTTTAAATATTTTAAAAACAACTATTGACTTTTAAAGTCATTTCAACACAAAAAGATTACTTGTAAAATGTACCAAATTATTCATGAAAATTAACAATATCTCATTACGAATTCATTTGGGGTCATTAGTTTATTTTTTTATTCTTCTTAAAAAAATAATACCCATAAAATGGAATTTGAAATAGGAATCAAATGGTAAGTCAATTTCTAAATCGATGTGTCCATTTTCTTAAATATATGTATTCATTTTCTTAAGAAACCATTTTGAGATCTCCACGCATTTTTGTAAACAAGCATTTTAAGCGGTGTCCATTTTCGTGAATATGAATTTTGAGCTTTATCAAGTTTAAAAAAACTCCCTGACAAGCTTCTAGATTTTAGAGAATATTTTTTTTAAATCTTAAAGATATCGGGTTTACATTTTTCAATAATAGCTACATATCTAGCTTGAAGAATTTATAGATATTTAAAAACAAAATATGTCATTTAGTCCAAAACACATAATTTCCGATGCATTTATAATTCGAATTTTAAAAAGTAAAATTTTTAATCTTTTTTCAGGAAAAATATTTTGCATCCAGTGATTCACTCGAAACAGGTTTCATTTTATAATATGGACATCCTATTTTCCCAAATATTATTTCTCTGGGAGCAACTTAAAAAATACTTTTTTGAGTATAAAACAAGTAATTTTCAATGCGTATATAATTCTAATATGAGACTGGACACTTAAAGAATTTTCAAAATTTCTTGCACCAAGTGATTTATTTAAAATTTATTTCATATTAAATACGGTTGTTATATTTTCTGATAATATTTACATCGGCTTGAAAGAATTTTTTGATCAAAATTTTCATGTAGGAAACATGCGATTCCTCTACCATATATTATCCAAATAGAAGAATGAACATTTTGCGAGTTGCTTTTTAACTTAGTGCACCATGTGATTTACTTAAACCTGTATTCATATTGAAATAAGGCCGTTAAAATAATTCTCCAAATTTAGTCACATTCGTGTGAAAGTATAGATAAATTTTTATTTTGTACAAAACCGAAAGTTCCATCACATGTATAATTTTTTTATGAAAATAAATAAATAGTAATTTTTAAAAAAAATTGCCTCACGCGTGATTTAATTAAAACTGTTATCATATTAAAACATGGGTGCCATATTTCCCGTAAATACTCATATTAGTCTGAATTTATATTGATAGATATGTTTAAAAATGTGTTATTTTGTACAAAACACGAAGTTCTAGGTATTTTTCTAATTCTAATATTAAGATGGAAGCTTTGCCAATTTTTAAATAATTTTTGCAAAGCGTGATTCATTTATAACTTATTTCACATTGAAATATGGACCTCGGATGGCCCAAAAATACCCATATGCGACTGAAACTATCCATAATTTTTTTTGAAATAAAGTATTATTAAATCCAAAATACTTAATTTTCAGTTCTTTCGAATATTAATATGGGCACTGTGATTTTTTTAAATAATATTTTGCCTCCTGTGATTAAATTAAAACTGATTTCATTGTAAAATATAAGCACCATATTTTCGAAAAATATCTATATCTGCCTGAAAGTAATATTTAAAAGAAAAAAATATTTAATCCAGAACACGCTAATTCCAGTGCATAAATAATTCGAATATTAGGAAAGATATTTTGCGATTTTTTATAATTTTTGTAGCATTTGATTAACTTAAAGCTAAATCCATATTAACATAAAGTATATTAGAACAAACATGAATTTATATATTGAAATTGAAATTAAACTTTCTGGCAAATTTTATCAGAATTTTTAAATACAAAAATTTAACACATGGAAAGTTTTTTTTCTTCCTGATAATAAGATGAGAGATTACACTACACATTAGGTTTCATATTTTTTAAACTGCATTAAAGTATTATAGAATCTGACAATAAATACACTAATTAAAGGTTTTAATGTTAGTACATCTATTAAGCGTGATTTATTTTTCGAGTTTGTCATAGACCGGTTAAAAATGTGACCTAGACATCTCATTAAATGACTGTCGCATTCCTAATGAATAGACTGTCATGTCAAATTCATTTAACGCTGAAAGCAAGAAATGTGTTCTCACACTAATTTTTCTATCATTATTAAAAAAGACAAATTATCAGCTGCGAAATAGAGTTGTACTACCGCGAATCTAAATAGTGATAAAATGTCATAATTTTTCTGTTTCTTGATGAAGAAATAAGAGTATCTATTTCATTATGTAAAGCTAAATTATTTTTCGTAAAAAAATACGTCATATTTACATAATTTTTTTTGCATTTTTCATCACCAGGTGTGCTTCGTGAGTTAAAAACAATAATTGTGA